CTACAAGGTCCGCAACTCGTATGGCCGAGAAAAGGTCCTCCATCGTATGGAGTTGAAGCACTGCCCCTGGGAAGTCTACTTCAGAAATTCGGAAGCCCCAACTCAACAGACCTCAGAATCTGACTCGGGGAGTCAATCCATGGCGAGTAGTGACAATCGATGGGGGACGCCGCCAATGTGGGCACCAAAAGCTGGTGAAGCTAATAGCGCTGCTGCAGCACCACAGGCCTCGGATGGTCTACCTCCTGGTAGTTTCCCTGCAGTTGGTCCTGGGCAAAGCGACACGGTTAATACTGGCACGAGCTTGGACACGGACAGCACGACGTCAGCCCCACCAGAGACGGCAGCCCCAGTCTTTCCTCGCAATACTGCCGGACGAGACCCCAAGGATGCGCAGACTGACCTCAAAGAGTCGCCGGCCCCACCAGAGACGGCGGCCACAGTCTTTCCTCGTAATACTGCCGGACGAGACCCCAGGGATGTGCAGACCGACACCAAGGAGCTGCCGGCCCCGCCAGAGACGGCAACCCCAGTCTTTCCTCGTAATACTGCCGGACGAGACCCCAAGGATGCGCAGACTGACCTCAAAGAGTCGCCGGCCCCACCAGAGAAGGCAACCCCACTCTCTCCTCGAAACGACACTGGGCGGGACCCAAGGGATGTGCAGACCGACCTCCAGGAGCTGCCGGCCCCACCAGAGATGGCAACACCAGTCTTTCCTCGAAACGACGCTGGTGCAGATATACAGACAAACCTTCAGGAGCCAGAGTCACACACCATTCATCGAGACGCGAGTGACCCAGTCACAACTGACACAGACACCGCTGGACCGCGGAGGCCACTCAGACGTTCTCGCCGTGTCAATAAGGGTCGACCACCGGTGCGGTACCAGTCAAGTGTTCTCCATCTACTTGACCGAGTTAAGCGGCTGGTCACCAACGAACCAGAGTCGGACTCCCCTGACACCGAGTGACAGCCATCCCAAGACGTGTCCCTACTTCTTACTGCAGGACCCGGGCTGCTAGTTCATGGTACATGTATTCGGTAAATAACCTGTTCGTTTAAATGTGTACTATATGTTGAAAACTCTTAGGGTTCCATTTCAAGCTCTTCGAAATGTTAGCTTATGTAAGTTGGAGCCCAAGTTCGAGTACTTGTTGGTCACCTTTGACCTGTTACAAAGAGTTTTGGTACTTACCTGCTAGTTAAAGTATGTACTGTGTTAAATGCTGTTAGGATTCTATTACAACTTATTTTTGGTTATCTTTGACCTGTTAAAAAAAAAAAAAAAAAAGGTTTGTTTGTGCATTACCCTGTTTTGGCTTGACAGTCGTCGAGGGCGACGACACATCGCTGTTGGACGATTGTAGGGAGCTGAGATTTGAGATTTGAAATTATTACATGGATGATCCCTCATAATCAATCTTGTATTAGTTCTCCATTTTTTCTGTGTATAAAGAAACTTCACCTCAATGTAGACCGTTGCTCAGCCGTTGGTGGCATCTCTCGAGGTATAGTCTAAACTTTTACGGTGAGTCTGAAGGGCGCCACCGCAGGGCGGAAGCGGGTCATGCTAATCTCCCGCCTCCGTCATCGGTCGGTGCTCTTCGACCGCCACTCCACAGGTAACATTTTTTGCAGTTTTCTTTTCTTTTGAATTAAATATGTCATATGTCCTTAAACCGGAAAGACCAGGGAATATTTGTGATATTGCAGATGGGGCGAACTGTTGCATTTTCCCTGACATTGGGGAGTTTTCATTTTACGAACTTTGGCCAAGATGGCGACCCAGTTGTCTTGCTATGGAGACCTCTCGGTGATAAAAAGTGCCGTAACTTTTCCTAGTTATTATTTTTGTCAGGAAGTTAAAGACGACATGATAGTCTTGCATTTATTCTTTGATAGGCCTGAATTGTGGTGATATGTCAGACCGGAACATCAGAGTCTTTTAAAGCAAATTCCGAGGTTTTTATGATAATTCATCGCTCGGTTTTGCTCAGTAAAAGAGCGTCCTCTTCCGAGATATTTTGTAATTCATTGCTCGGTCGTGTTTACTAAATAGCGCCCCCATTATTAAGTGAAGTCGCTAACCATGAGTTGAATGTACTTTATGCATGTAATTATGCCTGAAGAGATGAAGTGTAGCACTGAGACACCCTTATTTGTAATGAACATGGGACTCAACTATATTTGTGCCTTCCTTATTTTTGCCTTAGAGAATTTGGTACTTTCTGAATTTGCATTGTGTGACCAAATTGTCCTTTGTGCTAATTTATGAGTACAAAAATATGGATTTTGTTCTGTCAGTAATGTGTTTTTATCTGCCCCTTTCTGGTCTGCTATGAAAATGACACTAGTAACACATGTATTTTCTAGCTCGACATGCACTTTATTGAACTCCCCTTGTATTAGAGAAATTATGTAGGTTTACATGGGTGACTTTGAAGAAATAACTGTTTCTTTTAGTTCCAACTATTTTCCGATTCATTGCTGGGTTTTCGTCATAACCTGTTCATTGCCCCCTTTAATTAAATGTATTGTTTTCCGGTGCCAGCATTAGATCACCTTACAATGTACTTATGATCCCTTATTTTTATTCCTTTCTTTCTCATGTGCTGTTTTGATGCTAATCTCCCGCCTCCGTCATCGGTCGGTGCTCTTCGACCGCCACTCCACAGAATAAATTATCAGTCAAGCCGAACCCAAGAGTGTCGTGAGCCAGTTTCCTTTGTGCATACAATCCCTATCCCCATTGGGAGCTGTCTCCTCTCACCCCCTTACCACACTTGTCTGCAAGCTTGCCTGCAAGCTTGCCAGGGAGCCTGCTGCAAGCTTGCCAGGCAGCTTGCTGCAAGCTTGCTGGCAAACTTGCCCCAATTACATGTTTGGAACCTTTGACGGCAAGTGTGCTGCAAGCGTGCAGGCATTTCTGTATGCATAAAGCTTTATTAGAGTGAGCTCACTTGCAAGCTTGCTGCAAGCTTGCATGCACTGGCACAAGCTTGCTATTAGCTTGCAAGCCCTGGCGCAAGCATGCCACAAGCTTGCAAGCCCTGGCGCAAGCTTGCTATAAGCTTGCAAGCCCACATGCAAGCTTGCTACTAGCTTGCAAGCTCATGCACAAGCTTGCAACGCCACTTGCAAGCTTGCGGCAAGCTTGCTAGCTCATGGGCTAGCTTGCAACCCAACTTGCAAGCTCGCGGCAAGCTCGCGGCAAGCTCGCGGCAAGCTCGCGGCAAGCTCGCGGCAAGCTCGCGGCAAGCTCGCGGCAAGCTCGCGGCAAGCTCGCGGCAAGCTCGCGGCAAGCTCGCGGCAAGCTCGCGGCAAGCTCGCGGCAAGCTCGCGGCAAGCTCGCGGCAAGCTCGCGGCAAGCTCGCGGCAAGCTCGCGGCAAGCTCGCGGCAAGCTCGCGGCAAGCTCGCGGCAAGCTCGCGGCAAGCTCGCGGCAAGCTCGCGGCAAGCTCGCGGCAAGCTCGCGGCAAGCTCGCGGCAAGCTCGCGGCAAGCTCGCGGCAAGCTCGCGGCAAGCTCGCGGCAAGCTCGCGGCAAGCTCGCGGCAAGCTCGCGGCAAGCTCGCGGCAAGCTCGCGGCAAGCTCGCGGCAAGCTCGCGGCAAGCTCGCGGCAAGCTCGCGGCAAGCTCGCGGCAAGCTCGCGGCAAGCTCGCGGCAAGCTCGCGGCAAGCTCGCGGCAAGCTCGCGGCAAGCTCGCGGCAAGCTCGCGGCAAGCTCGCGGCAAGCTCGCGGCAAGCTCGCGGCAAGCTCGCGGCAAGCTCGCGGCAAGCTCGCGGCAAGCTCGCGGCAAGCTCGCGGCAAGCTCGCGGCAAGCTCGCGGCAAGCTCGCGGCAAGCTCGCGGCAAGCTCGCGGCAAGCTCGCGGCAAGCTCGCGGCAAGCTCGCGGCAAGCTCGCGGCAAGCTCGCGGCAAGCTCGCGGCAAGCTCGCGGCAAGCTCGCGGCAAGCTCGCGGCAAGCTCGCGGCAAGCTCGCGGCAAGCTCACCGGCAAGCTTGCCGCAAGCTTGCCCTTATTTACATTATTGGAACCTTGCGGCAAGCTTGCAGACAAAAAAATATAAAAAAAATATTTATCAAATTTATGCAGTCAAACTTCGAACATTATGCCTCGATCGCCATGATGCCTTAACTGCATGCTGCTTGGCCCGGCCCACATAATTTTTACACAATTTTGGCCTAAAAAGTCATCTCAGCTTACGGGTATTGGGTCCTGGCTTGCTTGATGTTCGCTGGCCCATCGGTACCGAGTTCGCTTTGGTGGACATAAATCTGCTCCAGGTTCAAGGTATTTCTTGTACATTGGTGCAGTCCCGCGATGGTGCCGGTGCCGAGAGCGAGCAACGAACCGAGCCGACCAGCTATCAGCTATCGACTGGCAGGCTGGCGGGCGAGCGCCGGCGCGGGCGCTGCCAGCGCCAGCAGACGATTATTTTACGATGAAAACGATAGCTCGTCCCAGACAGATTCCCTGACGTCATGTATAGTGAGTGTGCAGTACAAAGGAAGGGAGCACGTCCATTCATTGAAGTCGAGCATTTTTTCAACATCTTTTATCAAAATATTAGTGCGACAAAATACGAATAAAATATTTCTTCCCCTGATAAAACTGTATTTTTTTCTTCAAGATTTTGAGTTTTAATATCGAGGAATACGCGGAAATCCAAAAATGCACTTGTGTATAACCCAACTACTTTACGATGCAGACGATTTTTCGTCCGGGACAGATTACCAGACGTCATGCTTGTTCAGTGTGCACTATAGAAGAAAAGGAGCACGCCTATTCATTGAAGTCACGAATATTAACAACTGGAACGCAGTTTTCCATCCTCTGTTATCAATTAAAAGTGATAAGATATAAATCAAATAAATTTGGTTTTTGATAAATTTAATTTTTTTCTTTAAGAATTTGGGTTTACAATCGAAGAATACGCGCAAATCCAAATTATGAAATGTTGTTAGCTTGATCGAGCATGTGTACAAACATTGGCAATCATCGGAGTACGTCATGCGACGATCGGAGAGGGAACTTTAAATTTTTTTGGCTTCACGATATGCGCAGGCATACCGCTCTTTCTGAACGATGCCTCCCAAATATGCACTTTTGTATTTCATAAAAGATCGGGTTTTCGATATTGTTCGCGTCAGTCAAATACAAAAATTTAATCCAAAAGACGAACATGATTTTGTCAAGGACAAGGTACATATGGTAGAATGGAGTGGCACCGCCGCCGGCAGCAAGTCTGCCGACTTGGGCTGCAAGAAGTATCCGGCAGTGATCATCAAGTTGTCAGGTAGGTCTATGACTTTCTTTCAATGCAAATATCAGATGAGGTAAAAAGTGTGTCATGTTTCATTCATCCCTTCATTCATTCCGTGTTATTTTACAATAATATACTGTCCACTGTCTGTTACAACTGGAGTAAGTTAGCCCTATCATGGCTGTTTAAACCATGGTTAGGCCTAGTCCCTAGTTAAATTTACATTAACGTTAGTCTCTTTATCATTTAATTATGTTCATTGTATCCTTACAGATTTCATTCAAAAATACATTTTTAGTCAAATTTAAGCAAATCTCAACATAGAAAAGTAGGGGCCAAGTAACATGATTAACCGAGGCTTAAATTACATTTGGTTTTATAATTAAATATCATCTGATGAAAAAGCAGGTAGCCTACACTGTTATATCCGTATATTATTACCAGCATTTAAATAATGGAAATCACATAGGGCCATGACCTTTTTTAATCAAAATATTGTATGATGCAACATAATTAGTTCCCATTGGAACAGAAGAAAAAATAGTTATTATAATTTTTAGAATCATTTTGTAGAATCAGAGAATCAACTTCAGAAGGTCCTGGATAGCGACACGGGCAAACGAATTCGAATTCCAAACGTCACAAACACAACAACTGAGCCTGAAGAGCAAAGTGAAGACGAGGTTGTCGAAAGACAGAAGCGCCTCTGGGACGAAGCAAAGGTATAAGACATGTCTTGTTCTGGACCTGGCTGTACTGCCGAGTGACAAATATATAAAAACATGTGGTAATGTAATGTTTAACATAGTAAATATGTACGTACACGTTTAATTGCTTGCAATTTTGCTTCTCTTAATTACATGTATTTCGCTATGAATAAAATATTCAGAAGAAAAAAAAGGCTAAAGCTTCATCGGGCACCAAACGCCTCAAGGACATCCTTGCAGTCAATGCACGGAATCCACTGTGCAATAATGTGGGGGACAGCTCTGATGAGGAAAACATCGGCTCCCAAAGAAGATCCCAGTCAGGCTTGGTGCGTGGCCTATTATTATGTCTTTCTTTCAAATAAGTGAAGTTTTAAAATTGAATTCCCTTAGCCTTATTGAACAAAACAAATTACATTTTTCTGATTACTAAATTTTCTGAGATAATCTTTTAAAATCAGTTTTCAGAGATTTCCTGAGGCCTCATGTTACATATGGCCCTTTAAAACCCAAACAGTCCAAAATCTGCCAACAGTAAAGACTGAGGACCATTAGGGTAATGATAAATTTTTGTACACAAACGCTTCATTTTTCTGATCCACCCTATCATAAACAAAGGCATTTAGAAGACATCTGATTTTTTTCTCTTTGTTTGTTACAACTTTGTGATGATAGACACGGAAGAGGACTATGTATCTGACAGACTCAGACCAGGAATGCTCCCAGTGCAAAAGGCTGTTCTCCGAAAATAAGCAGATAAAGGAGCAGAACCAGAAGCTCAGGCTTCTGAATATAAGGCTCCAAGCTAATCTTCTGGACAAATTAGAAGGTAACATGATGTGTACTGGTGCTGTGGCACCTTGTTTTAGTCTCTGATAACCTGACTTGGACATGCAATCCTGGACTACAGATTTTTATGCTTTGTGATATAAAAGATCAATTACATATTTGTAGGCAAATTGTTTTAAACTCTTAAACACAAACTTTCCAAGGTTTGACTGGCCTCCAAGTCAGCACGAAGGAACAGCGGAAGGCCCAGCACAGCTGCCCAGCACCCGTGTCGATGCCAAGTCCACCAGCTGGCAGGAATGTCGGTGACAACACATCCGTATGTTTGTGACTCTTCTGAACTTTTAACCCAGGGGTCTAGATTTTGTGTGGGGATGCTATTTCCTCCCTCAATGCACTGGAGACCAAAACCCACACAGTGGATTAGACAATTGACAAACCACAATCTGAGGAGGGAAGTACTTCCTTGAAATCTTTCATTGTTGAATTTTGAGAGGAATTTTGTTTGCTGTCAGCTTTAGTTTTAGTCTTCACCAAATTTACAATTTCATGCAGATATACAAAAAGGAAAATGCCAGCATTAAATTTATATTTCTTTTCTCAGTTGTTGGACCCTGAAGAAGTGAGGGTTCTGGACAGAAAAAGGAAGCCATCCTTATTTACCAAGAATCTCTGCGTCCGCCTCATCGGTTCAGAGAAACTCCGGAACTCATCTCTCGATGGGCGTATTCCCAGCAGAGGTGGTCGGGCTCCGAGAGATGCCCTCGACCCACACATTGTGGAAACAATAAAGGGTAGGTGTCTTTTAGCTTTAGTTTTTTCACATCCAGTGACCATCAGTTTGAAGAGTAGAGCTATACACATTGTGCAGTATCCAAAATGTGTAGCTTTCCAAACTACACAGCATTGGGAACACATGTTCCTAATGAGAAGTGGTCAGGGTCTGGATGACAGGTCGAGCTGGACAAACTGTAGCAGCGAGGGGCAGTGGACAGACCTTCAGAGGCCCCAAATGTAGTAAACCCTTTTGTCACTCTCACAGCATTGTAAGATTAGATGACAAACAAGCCATGCAGTTTATGAACCTATAGGAAGTGAACCAGTCATTTTCAAAATAAAAAAGAACACCAAATATTTTTAAGAAAAGAATTAGAAAAACAAAATCACAGAGGCTCCACCTATCAACACTTTTATGTCATGTTTAGTTTTTCCTCAAGTCACATGCTAGTGCATGTATTGTGGGTGACTAAACGTACTCCCAGAGATAGTCATTACGAGATAGCAAAATATTAATCATCAAGCCAACCAGTGATCCCTCACATTAAAATTGTTAAATTTTGCCATTCCCATGGTGCAGTATTTCCAAGAAAAAAAACGTTTGCACAAGAAATTTCTAGGTAAAGTAAAATAAATGGCAATTTTTTTCCCACAGATTTGGTTACCAAGCGATATGGGGAGGCAGAAAAAAGAAAGTCAACCGATATATCATTGAGAAAATTGCAGATCTCCGTAAGCTTAAAGCAACTGATGCTGATGGTGATACAAATGAGATGTAGGGCCTGAGGGGATTTCTGAATTTAATCTTTAACTTCCATATATATTACTTGTTGGCTATACTGTTTCCTAAAAACTTTCTGTGAAGTTTATACTTGTACACTGATTTAAAGGTATAGTCCATCATTTGCAGCTATCTGACCAAATTACTGTTGAAAACCTTTCTTGGTTTAAATCTAGTAATAGCAATAAACTCTGTAGAATCGGAGGATGGAGACAGATTGTTTAGATTGATCTGTATGCTGCTTTATTGGAACTACACATGCAATGCACGAATACTGTACACAGGGTACAAAGGTCAAACCTGTACATTTGTATGGTGGCCTGGAAATGACATGTGGCTTAACACTTATTCTATATTAAACATGTATGTGTTTGGATACTACATCCCTCCCAACCTTGGATTCTGTTTTTCAGGAGTTTTAGATTAAAAAGGTACTTGTGCATCATGTGAACCTTTTTAAGTCCAATGGCGATTTAAGAATAGTTTTTTTTTGGAAAACTTTGGCCAGAACAATGATTGAATTAAAGATTAACAAATTAGTAACTTTAACTAGAACAATCATGTAAACATGCAGTTACCTCACATCTGCAATATTTGCCTTTTTTTCTTTTTGAATTAAAGAGATTAACTGTTACAGAACAAATAACAAAAAGGATACAAAAATAAAGCGTGCTTGATTTTAAGCAAACAAGTCTGTTGTCTACAGTTCAATGTCCAGTGTCCTTTGGCAAGAGTCTTTGGCCTGTGTGCCTGTGATGCCTAGGATGGCACATAGTCCTTGAGATACTCGGGTGATTTCCGAATGCGAGTCGGGTAGCGTTGTTCTGTGTTTGTTTGTGTCTCTGGTGACTCGCTTGTTCCAGTGTTCTTGGTTGGTTCATCGGGTGCTGTCTCTTGGACGATGTCTGTTGGCTCAAAAGACTCACTGTCTGTAGCGACGCTGTCTGGGAGTGTTTTGAAGAACGAAGAGTTTCGTGTGACTCGATGTCCTTCGCGTTCGGCTGTTATCATGGGACCTTTGACGTCAACGACACGGTATGGATTCGTGTCATACGGGGTTTGCTGCTTTCGGATGAAGCCATCACGCTTCACCAAAACTGGATCACCGCGAGTGATTGGCTTGTGTCTCTTTGTCATGTGTTTTTCAGCGTTCTTTTTCATGTTGAATTTCTTGCGCTTGTCGCGTTCGCGAATTTCGCGGTCAGCGTTGTCTGTTGTGATGTCTGTCTGAGGGATGCGTGTGCGAAAAGGGCGTCCGAACAGGAGCTCGGCGGGTGGAGAGCCTGTAGTTGAGTGTGGTGTGGCGCGGTAATTGCGTAGAAATTTGTGGAGTTCTTGTTTGCTCGTGGCCACAAGGGTGTTATGCGGCGATGCTTGAACCCGAGATATGCTGCAAATTTCTTGAAGTCTCCACTGTTAAACGGTGGGCCGTTGTCGGACCGGACGATTTGTGGAATGCCAAATTGCGAAAATATGGCGTCCAGTTTCGGAATGACAGCCTTGACGGAAGTCGAAGTTACAATTTCGACCACAGGATAGCGGCTGTAATCGTCTGTTACAACAAGAAGGTGTTCGCCTGAAGGTAAGTCAGCGAAATCCACACTGACTTCAAGCCATGGTCCGGCTGGCAAGGTAGACATTTGCAGTGGCTCGCGTAGTGTACTGGACGATGTTGCTTGGCAGGGAATGCACTGGCTGATTTTGCCTTCAACCAGCCTGTCAATGCCAGGGAACCATATTTTTTCCCTGAGCAATTGTTTAGTTTTTACAATGCCCTGATGTCCTTCGTGAGCAAGTTCGATGACATGGTCTTGGGCTGAAGCAGGGATGACGATGCAGTTTCGCCGCAGGATCAGGTCATTTGTCGGGATTACTGTCAGTTCGTCGCGTATTTTGTACATGCTTTGCAGTGTGCTTTTGGTGTCAGGATCCACTGCCTGCTTCATGAGTGCTTTCCAGTTGTTCGTTCTCAGGGCTTCGATGCAGAGTTGTAGTGCGTGATCAGTTTCAGTTGCACTTTTCAGTTCACTCAGTGTGAGAGTCTTTGGGACTGCGTTGCTGGTTACGAAGCTGACGTGCTGTTCTGCCATTTTTTCTTCGTGGCTTGCTGGCTTGGTCGTTGGAAGCGGATGCCTGGAGAGGTAGTCAGCCGGGTTCAGCTTACCAGGCTGATATGCTACTTGGAACCTGTATTCTTGCAGTTTCAGGATCCAACGTTCAATTCTCATGGGTGGCTTGCTATTGGGGTTGTTGAAGAGTGTCACAAGCGGTTTGTGATCTGTGACAACCTCAAAGTTATTACCATATAGGTAGAGATGGTAGTGCAAAGTTCCCCATGTGACTGAGAGTGCTTCGCGTTCGATCTGCGAATATCGTTGCTCGACCAGTGTGAGTGACCTGCTTGCCAGGCCGACAATGGATTGGTTTCCAGTTTTGTCAGTCTGTGCGAGAATGGCCCCTAGACCGACAGGGCTTGCGTCGACGATTAGCTGTGTTGCTTTGGCGGGGTCATAGTAGGATGTAGAACAGCTGGTGGCAAGGCGTTGCTTGATTTCGCGTATCGCGTTGTGGTGCTTTTTGGTCCACTTCCATTCGGTTGATTCGCGTGTGAGATCGCGAAGGGGAGCAGATATTGTTGCGAGATCGGGAATGAATCTGCTGCAATATGTTGCGAGGCCAAGTAAGCTGCGTACCTCACTCACGGTTTGCGGATCAGAAGCACTGAGGATTGCTTTGACCTTCTGGGGGTCTGGTGATATGCCTTCTGCGCTGAATATGTGTCCGAAGAAAGCAATGCTGTCGCGATTGAATTCACACTTGGCTTTGGTTAGTGTGAGGTTGCGATCTCTCAACCTTTGCAGGCATGCATCGAGCCGGGTGTTCATCTCGTCTTGTGAGCGTGCGAAGATGAGTATGTCATCACTAATGTTTATGACACCATCAAGACCGTGCAGTGATGATTGGATGAGGTTCTGAAAAACCTCTGCGGCTGAGGTGACTCCAAAATTGAGTCTCTTGTACCGGAATAGTCCGATGTGTGTGGAGAACACTGTTATGTATCTCGATTCCTCAGCGAGCTCAATTTGGTGGTATCCTGCATTCAAGTCTAGCTTTGAGAAGACTTTGGCTCCATTGACTTTTGAGATGTCGTCGATTGTAGGCGTTATATGGCGTTCGCGTTGGACTGCCTTGTTCGCCGCACGCATGTCCACACAAATGCGGATCTGATCAGGACTCTTGGGTTTCGGGACAACTTGAATCGGTGAGACCCATGGGGTTGGCTCGTCACCAACGCGTTCTATGATGTCGAGATCGAGGAGACGCTGTAGCTCCTTTTCTGTTTGTTTGCGCACGTGGAATGGAATTCGACGATGTGGTTGGGTAACTGATCTTACAGTTTCGTCGATATGGAGCTTGCATTTTGTGTCCTTTAGTTTGCCGATTCCCTCGAAGCGATCTGCATAATTCGACAGGATATCGCCATCATGTTGTACTGCGTACGAAATGTGGACGATTTTGAGGGCCAACGCTGTATTGAAATTCAGCAGAGTGTCACAGTTACCAGCAACGACAAAGAAAGTGGCTGATGATGTGTTTTCTTTGTGCGTCACCAGTGCTTCGAATGTTCCGGTGATCTGTAGAGGCTTGTCACTGTTGTACGCGTATACGCGAGTGTGTGTTGGCTTTGTGAGGGGCGGTGTGATTTTTAGTGTGTCGAACGTGCGCTGACTCATGACGTCGACAGAGGCTCCAGTGTCGATTAAGGCATTGATGCGAGAACCGCAGATTCGAACATCGACTCTCGGCTGCTTGTTTGAGCTTGCTTTGTGGATGCCGAATAGGTATTCATCCTCGCTTGAGCTATCCTCGACGTTTGCGACTGGTTTGTACTGCCTCGGTCGTTCGCGAGTCGGAGTGTTTTTACGCTGCTTGTCTGATCTGCAGACTTTCTCAAAGTGGTCTTGCTTACCGCACTTTGAGCATTCGTGACCCTTGGCAGGACATTGGTTCTTGTGGGGATACGATCCTCCGCAGTAGAAACATGTACGCTTTGGGGGCTTGGTGTCGTGTCGGGTAGGCTTTTTGAAGTTGCGCTTGGGCTTGGCAACTTTGTTGACGGCTGTTTGTGAGCCATCTGCTTCTACGTCATGTGCTCTGCTCTCCGACAACGACAGTGATCGTGCTAGTTCTAGCAGTTCAGTCAAGTTTCTGTCTTTTTCCAAAGATTTGCGCCGTAGGTGCTTAGAGGTGCAGCCTTCAATGATCTGCGTTTTGAGTTCGCGATCGATGTCACTGAAATCACACTTCACAGCCTGCTGACGAAGCCTCGTGCAGTACTGGTCAATGTTCTCAGTGGTATTTTGCTTGGTGCGTCTGAATATGATGGTCTCATAGACGACATTTTTCTTTGGCGCGAAGTAGTCAGTGAGGGCCTTTTTGGCAGCAGCATAGTCATTGCTATCTGACTTGAGCGTGTCATAAATGTCCTGTAGTTCCTCACCTCCATAGTGTAGAAGTAGCGCTTTTTTCCGTGTATCGTCAGTGATATCAAACCCAACCATTGCGCCTTCGAATCTTCGTGTCCATTTCTCCCATTTCGTGGAAACCGAAGATGGATCACTATGTGGATCAAATGGTGACAGTGTCGGCATTGAAAAACCACCGGAGGCCATGACGAAAATCACGATAAACAATGCTGAAAATCGCGAGTAGGACAGTAAGTACATGTACGTGTATGTATAGCTGTATACACGTGAACGTGTGTATTCTCTATGAACAGCGAATATGCAGAATGTTCACAGTCAGACGAAGTTTTATCCGCCAAATTTCACACTTTTGCACCAAGATTTGGTGCAGATTTTAACTCACAGTTACTGTCCAGGATCCTAATGTTAGGATTGGTGACCTTTTATCCTCGTCGCCAGTGTAGAATCGGAGGATGGAGACAGATTGTTTAGATTGATCTGTATGCTGCTTTATTGGAACTACACATGCAATGCACGAATACTGTACACAGGGTACAAAGGTCAAACCTGTACATTTGTATGGTGGCCTGGAAATGACATGTGGCTTAACACTTATTCTATATTAAACATGTATGTGTTTGGATACTACAAACTCCATGTAAAATTACTCCTTTTTAACACGCAGTCACTCTGAAGAAAACAGTAAAAGAGAGTCATTTCCAACAAAAGACATGTACATTTAGTAGCAATCGGCTGAATGAGAAGTTGAGAACGTGTCTCAAATGCTGATTTCGTGCAACATGACTCAGGAGTTTTTTAATAGAAAATTGAGATACTAGAATATTGTTTTCTCGGAATATACACTGTACTGCATTCACTGAAACTGAAACTCCATCAGGTTAGAGGTTAAGCACCCTTCTTTAGATATTGAGCACTTCTGTTGCTTCAAACGGGAAAAAAATGCACAAATGACAAATGATGGACTTTACCTTTGAACTTGACATCCAATGTTTTATGCTTTGTAGGAATGTGAGGGTCGTGGCATTATAAAAATGTACTTTTTAGACACTTCTAGCACTCTTACGTTTGGGGAAGTTATAACTCAATGGAAATTTGAAAAGTGCATCAATGGACGAATTTCAAAACTCTTACAATCACACAGTAGAATGCCAATTCTCAAACAAAATCTCTGACAAAAGCTACGGTCCTGGCTGCCATATCTCTCTCAAATTCAACAATGTGCTGGGGGGGGGATATCTTGTTTTTATTGCACGACTACCTGCCACTGTGAAGTAAGAGTGCTAAAAAGTAGAAGGTACACAATTCGTTTCTAGATCTTAGAAGTATAACAGAAAGTGGTCAGTCATATAACTCCAAAAAGGACATAGTGAAAAATACACAAACGGAAAGAGTTCCATACACGGACATAACAGACATCACTTGCAGTGACCTACATGTATTATCAGCCATGTCAGCCATCAGAAAGAGATGACCAAAAAAGTCAGATTTAGAAGGGAAACTTATGAAAACACTTAGACTTTTTCAGACCAGTCTCACACTGGGTTTGTGCATAATTAGTTACATCGTGTAGCCTTGTATGGTGTCAAGTGATGTTCATGCACAAACATTCTTTCCAAGTAAGAACATGATAATGAAGAAGGCTAATGTCACTCATTCATGGCATGGTACTGTTTTAGGCCTACAAACTCCATGAATATTGAAGGACCATCACTAATTCATCTGTTTGACTAAACAGTTCTCTAAATTATAAAATATTGCATGTAGTGTTTGCATAGGTGTTTGTGTGATATTTTTTTTTACTTACCTGTTTGTGTGTTTCTACATGTAACTCCATGGTGTTAATTACCAAAACTTGTGCCAGACAGCAGAGGTCGAGTACAGTACAGACGCAGTATATAGTGCATGCAAATTATGCACAGCTAGTACATTTGCTTTGCAGGAGAAAACGAAAAAAGAAGCTGCTTCTCCCACAGTCTTCATCCGATGGTCACTTGCATCCCTGGGCTGATGTAGCCTTATATAGGGTGTACGCAGATTTCTGCCAAACTTATTCAGTTTTGTGGCTAGTTGCATGTTTTGTGAGTACTTGTCTTTTGATTTAGGACAAAGGTCACTTTGTTCAGCAGTGGTCATTTCTCTTAAAAATGGACAAAATGGCCTTGTTTGTCATTTTTTCCTAATGATTTCAAACCAACTTTGCTAATAATTGGCCTAAATATTGCATACGTCCTGTGTACTGTTTGCATATGTGGTTATTTTCTGGAAAATTGGCAAATTAGAGCTTGGTTTTTCTCATTTTTTTCCAATGATTCACACCAATCTTTTTTCAGATACAGGTCTCTTTTAAGTTTCATGTGTACTTTCGGCAGTCTGTGGCAAAGGTCAGTAGTGGTCAGCGACAGCATTGTTCACCACTGCCGTATTTGAATCACCAGCTGATGCTTCGATCATGTCCACATCCTAGTCTAGTTCATTTGGGATTGTAAATTGATGGGACCTTGTACCATATCAAATGTATTTTATACCTTCCTTAGGAGAATCATTTTAAATAAATAACTTTGAAGGTGTCACCTTGATATGCTCACTTTTAAGGGTCTGACCACAACTTGTTGAAAATATTTCTGCTGTTGTACAATACTATAAAGAATATGTGAAAAATCTTAATATCTGTTTACGTTCACATTTAAATAATAACTTGGAGGTGAAAGGAAAGTTATGACACTCATTGTGTGCCCTAGTCCATGCTTGCTCAGAGTTAAACAAACATTTTAGATGAAACAGCCACTGTCAACAAAATTATTGTATATTGTAAATATTGTAAATAAATTGTGAACTGTCACATTGCGACCAATATATATGACACTGTATTTTCTTTTTGTTAGCGAGCGATCAAAAATTTTATTCCTCCTACCATTTAGCAAAAGTATTTGCAAAAAAGAAACTTGAATTGGTCCCAATTGGGATTATTTCCAGTTAATTGGAAATTTTTCCAATTGGTCCCAATTGGTCCCATCCATCCCATTTAGTTCCAATTGGAACCAATTGGCACAAACCAATTGGTTCCAATTGGAACCATTTGGATCCAATTGGATCCAATTGGTTTCAATTGGTTCCAATTGGTTTGTGCCAATTGCCATTTGGAAATTATTTCCAATTGGAACCAATTGGTTCCAATTGGAAATAATTTCCAATTAGTTCTAATTGGTTCCAATTGGAAAATTGAATTGGTATTTTTGGTAAGGGTCTTCCCCCGTTTACTGAAGGAAAACAAAAATCCGAATGAAAACAAAATCCTGAAAGAAAACAAATTCCACTTTTTAGTTTCTAGACTTGCCAACTGCCTTACAGTTTCAATGTAACGAACTTGAAGAAATTATTTTGTGGAGATAGGGCAGGTTTTTGATTATGGAGTGAAATTACAGGGTAAAACACAGATGATAAAAGTGGCTTTAACTTAAGTTCAGCGTGTTCAGTCCCGGTTCCAGCTGGACTTGAATCGTAGAAAAGAGTTGTATTCATCCAGGAAGCCATGCAGACTAAAGCTGTCTTTTTATATGATTTTTGGGTCCGTTGCTTATTCACACCATATGCATCACGCACGCACGCACACCCACCTATACTTACACGAAGGCATATATGGGGTACCAGATTGTGGGGTACCGATGTAAGTACAATTGCTCCTTGTGGGCCATGAATATGGGGTCCTCAATTATTCCCCACAAGGATTATCAGTGTTTCAAAAACACAAAATACCCCACAAAGTACCGAGTAAACAAAACTGTGGTTGAACAAGAAACTCTTTAATAAATGAAACATTGAAAACCTTAAGTACAAAAACTATGCTTGTACAAGCATGGAGGAATTCCTCCATGGTACAATAAACTCTTTAATAAATGAAACATTGAAAACCTTAAAAGTACAAAACTATGCTTGTACAAGAAACTCTTTAATAAATGAAACATTGAAAACCTTAAAAGTACAAAAACTATGCTTGTACAAGAAAATCTTTAATAAATGCAACAGTGAAAACCTTAAAAACACGAAACCTTATGCTCGGCCCAAAAAAAAGTTTTGCTTCCGATTTACCCGACCTACCCTATTCGAACAGCCTCGGGGCTATTTTTTTCAGGAAAAAAGCCCCCCCCCCCAAAAAAAAAACCACCCACCCACAACATAAATTAGGCCCCTACTACATTTAACCTTTAAACCTCGACTACACGTAAGCTGTGTGCAAAAGAAATTCCCTACCTACACATTTTCTAATACCATGTAATAATGAATCGGAAACATAACTATTTTTGTGGCCTTGTACAAGAAACTCTTTAATAAATACAAATGAAAACAGTGAAAAATCAAATGAAAATACAAAATTTTGAAATTTTCATTTTGAAAATTCCGATCAAATGACATTCAAAACCTTTTGCCTTCATCATCTGAAAAATTAATACGTAGTTTACATAAAATTGAAAACGGGTACTCGATTCCATAATCTGGAATCGGTTCCTGACATCAACGGTCGGGTACCCGAGTACCCGGTTCCGATGCACAGCCCTACTTACTAATGAGTTTCCATTTCATGAGTTGTTATGTCGTAATACATTTGTAATTGTTAATATTTTTTCCTTAAGCCAGTATGTATTTTTTTTGTTATTTTGACATTTTCCTCATGAAATGACAATCTTTTGTGCAGATATATTTTTGTCTAGTGCGACAGTTTTATTTGTACTAAGTATCTCTAATAAGCGTGTTTGTATTTGGTGGTGGTCCAATGCCTTGCAAATGTAATATTTCCACAAACAATGATTCAAACAAAAGAATTAGTTATTGCAGTAAAAATGTAAGTTTAAAAATGCAATTTTAGAAATGCCAAATTTGTTTTACTACATACAGAAATACAGCTACGATAAAAAAACATATATGCAGGGTGTCCCAAAAAAAATGTCCCTCTGATAGACTGCTAAATTCAAGTATTATTCTCAATTTAGTGTTCAGATTTTGAAGCCCATATAATTTTGTAACTTCTGTGAAAATTTCATTGGTCTCGCTTCATTGGTTTTCAATACACAGTGTATTAT